AAAGATTGGGAGCAATTTAAAAACCCTCAAAGGATGACCAAGAAACTCATCAAGGAAGGGGAATGAAAATATAAATACAAACCAGTGAGTAGCATAAGGGCAGATTTGTAAAAACCTCTTTAACTATGTAAAAAGTAAAAGATTAGCTAGAAGGAAACTGCCATCCTCCCCTAGTGTGGCCTAAACGCTACTCCAGACCCACAGCAATGTGGTTCACTCTTAACTGCCCCTCTGTGCACTTAGGGATGGGCAATAAACGCTGACGCAGCCAGCACTGCCCACATTCTGTGAATGAATTTTTAAAAAACACACTGCTGCTACTGAGTGTCAGTGGTGGAGGGAGTGGATGTTTGTGGATGTGTGTCAATCAAGCAGGCTGCTTTTTCCTGGATGGTGTCGAGCTTATCAAATGTTGTTGGAGCTGCACCTTCCAGGCAGGTATAGAGTCTTCCATCACATTCCTGTCTTGTGCCTTGTAGATGGACAGGCTTTGGGGAGTCAAGGAGATGAGTTAATAGCAGGGCATTCAGTGATGGTGATGTCATTGAAAATCAAGGGGTGATGATTATATTCTCTCTTGGAGATAATGCCAGGCAGTGACTTTGTGTTGTGTGACTATAACTTATCACCTTGAGCCTGGGCATTATCCAGGTCTTGTTGTAGTTGGACTGGATCTGTATTTGCTTGAGATGTAACCTCATTGAAACTTACACAATCAGATTGATGTAGTGAGCATGTTTCCCCTGACTCTTGAGTCTAGAACCAGTAGACATAATCTCAGGAAAGGGGCAGACTATTTAGTGATGAAATGAGGAGGAATGTCTTCACCCAGAGGGTGGTGAGAGAACGTTTGGTATTCTTTCGCCCAGAAGCTCTGGAAGCTCAATCACTGAGTACGTTCAACACAGAGATTGCTAGGCTTCTGGAGACTAGTGGTAGTGAGCGATATAAGGTGGTGTGGGAGGTGTTATCGATGAGCAGGCTCAATGGGATGAATGGCCTACTAATGTACCCATGTTTCTTCCATTTGTGCATTTTGTAGACTCTCACTCCAGCACTGATCAAATCATCTGATCTACTGTGTCCCAAACTATAGCATGGAGAGTGGGATCAGCATACTGTATGGTATTATCTGTGTCACTACAGATGCCATGCATTGGAATGGTGTTGTAATGTTTGGGGTTGGGGGGTGGGGTGGGTGGTAGACTGGGAAACTGGAGTTCTCCATCTCTCTAAAACAATGGTGACTTCTCATGGTGAATAAGGAGATACTGTTCGGCAAGTGCGTCTGTCACCAGAGGTGCCCAGGTTGTGGAGAATCGGGGAAAGAACCTGGGGTGGGGGTGCGGAGAGGAGATGAGAATGTTTTATTTGAGGCAGTGAGTTGTTCTGATCTGGGATGCACTACCTGAAAGAACAACAGGAACTTTCTAAAGGAGGGGAATCAGGAAGATTTGCAGTCTTGTAGGAGAAAGAGCTTGGAGGGGGATGAATTGGGTAGATCTTTCACAGAGGCAGCACAGGCACAATGGGACGAATGGCCTCCACCTATGCTGGGTGATTCTACATGATTTGATTATTTTTAAGATAACAAGATATTTTATGTATATACAACTCTGAACCAGGCCATTTGCTCCATTGAGATTATGCTGGTGTTTATAGTCTCCTTTCATTCCAGTTACTACTTGTCAGCTTCCAGCTGATTTTTTTTTCCTTTTTCTTTTGTCTATTACTTTGTTTTCTTCTCTGAGCATCTGAACTGTTTGCCTCCTCCACTTCCTCTGAAAATCCATTCCATGTTCTAATGAGTCCTTGCTTCTCCCAGCCCTGATGGGGGCAATTGGGAATTTGCTGAAATTTTGGAAGTGATGACTTTCCTCCTGTAATCCCAGAAACAGAGTGCTGGTGAAACTCAGCAGGTCCAACAGCATCAGGAGAGAGAGAGAAACAGTTAACATTTCGAGTCCTGTCTAACTTTTCTTTAGGACTGAAGTGGCCTGAAAAACAGTGGGTTTGTGCTACTGACAGAGGGGGAGGAGGAGAGAAGGGGACAGATAGAGAGGTGCCCAGAAGGAAGACAAAAGGAAGTGCTAAGGGAGTGTAGTGGAGGAGTGCTATAGATGAAGAATAGGTGTTAATAGCAGGAACTAGGTCAGCCTCACTGACAACAAACAAGAGACAGGGTGGGGGAGGGGGGTAGTGTGGAATCAGAATGGAGGACAGTGATCATGTTGAACGCAATGTTGAGTCCTGAAGGCTGTAAAGTGCCAGAATGAAGTGGTGCTCCTCCAGCTTCCATTCAGCTTCACTGAAACACTACAGCAGGCCCAGGATGGAAACACTAGCATGAGAGCAGATGGTGTGTTTAAACGACAAGCAACTGAAAAATCAGAGTCATTTCTCCACACAGAGTGGAGGTGTTTACAGTGATTACCCAGTCTGTGTTTGGTCTCCCCAGTGTAAAGGAGACTGCTTTGTCAGCAGTGAATACAGCCGAGCAAATTGAAAGAAATACAAGTGAAATGCTGCTTCACCTGGAGGATGTGTTTGGGATCATGGACAGTGAGGGGGGTGTAAATGAACATTCAAGTGTCACACCTTCTGCAAATGGATGGGAAGATGCCAAGGGTGACACTAATCCAATTAGGCCCAGAAGCTATTGAGAGGCAGTATTTCCCTATAGCTTTGAAAGATATCTTGCTGTACATTATTAGTATAATACACTTTGGAGCATTGTTGTCATCTAACCCATCCACTGGCTCACCACGAGCAATGCCACAGAAGATCAATGAGCATTGGGAAAGCAGGACATTGATGGTGAGAGTGGACGTTTCTAATGATCCGATAGCAGAGAGATAGGAGATATTACAAGCTGTGAGGACAGTGTTAATGGCTATCTCTAAGCTTGTCTGTAACGGAGGACGAGGGAGAAAGGGGGTGTCGATGAGGACTCTCTGAGCATCTTGGCTGGGAAATGGGCAGAGACAGGAGGCTCATTCTGTCACTGTTATGGATTCCCTTGGGGTCTAATTATCTGCTATTCTTATATTTTTCAGATAATTTGCTTTCTTCTTCCTCTCAGCATATCTCTCTAACTGAAGGCAAGTTTAACCCTCTCTACCTCTACTCTCATTTCCCGTAAACACTGTGTTTATAGGATTGCAACTTATAAAAATAGAATCTTCAATGTCAGTTTAGATAGGTCATTGCTCTGAGCCCAGGGCCTGGATTATCATCTGGAGTCAATCCTGAGGCATCTGCCCACTTTTGTCCCATGCTGTCCCCAAAATCCAACCTCTGTCCAGGGGTGGGGAGGGGATCTGACCCTTGGAGGGTATTGACCCTGGGGATCTGGTCTGAGGATTGATCTCTGGCAGTAAGGCCTGGGAATTGACCACCCCGGGGGAGGCTTTGACCCTTGGAGAGGAAGGTGGTGGGTTTGACCCCAGGGGTAATGTTGACCTTTCTTTGGCCAGCCCAAGGTGTCTTCCCCAATTGGTAAGAGCAGCATCTCATTGTTCTGCTTTGTGACATTCTGTTTTAGGATTATTTTATCTAATCTTTCTTTTAACAAATAGCCACATTCTCAAAACACCTGGATTTGAACATTAATGAACCAGCTAGCAGAACATCAAACCCAAAGGAGTGAATGAGTGGAAAGGCAAATAGACACAAACACAAGCTGATAATTGTCAGTCTATGTTGGTGGATTGCAGCGGCTCAAGAAGGCAGCTCGCCACCATCTTCTCAAGGGGCCTGTGTCCGATGACACCTCTCTCACTGACACCTGAAGAAGGAGCAAAACTCCGAAAGCTTCAAATAAACCTGTTGGACTATAATCTGGTGTCGTGTGATTTTTGACCTTGACCACCCCATCCAGCACCGGCACCTCCAAATCATTCTCAAGGGGCAACTAGGGACGGGCAATAAATACTGGACCAACCAGTGATGCCCAGGTCCCACGAATGAATAAAAAAGGGTTACTAAGCACAATCTTGTAATTATACTTTAATGACCCTGCAAATTTATATTGAGGCCATGGCAGTGATTGGGAGTTTGTCTAGACAGAATTGTTATGGTGCACTGAGGGCATTCAGCCCATCATGTCTGAACATTTTAACTTTGTGCCAGTCTCCTGCCGTTTCCTTGTAACTCCACACATTGCTTCTGTTTAAATAATCTTCCAACGCCCTCTTGAATGCCTTGTCTGAACTGGTTTCCACAACATTTCCAGGCCCTGACCCAACCACTCGCTGAGTGAGAAAGCTTTCTCTCATCTCCTATTGCTGCTTTTGCAAATCCCTTCCAACATTGTTGTCCTCTGGTTCCTGATCCCTTTACAAGGGGGAGCAGTTTCTCCCTATATTTTCTGTCCAGACTCCTTATAATTTTGAGAAAACTTCTGTCTTCTCCTCTGCAAGGAAAACTGTCTTAGTTTCTCCAGACTATCCTCATCATTGAAGTATCTCATCCCTGGAACCATTCTCAAATCTCCTCTGCGCTCTCTCCAATTTATTCACATCCTTCCTATAATGTGGTGCTCAGAACCACATGCAATACGCTAGCTGAGATCTAACGTGTCCTATATAAGTTCATTGCAATATCCCTCTGTTTAAATAGTGGCTGTGAGCCCATGCATGAACGCAATAGACATAGAGTTTGAGCAGTCAATTCTTTGAGTCCGAGTTGCTTGGCTTTATTTGCTTTTTGTGTCTATTATGATAATTCAAGGAGCCCTTTCAAGGGGAATTATCTTCATCCTGGTGTCTTGATGCAATGTTCTAGCATTTCTGGTGTTGTGGTGTGGGATTGCAGGAGGGAGTTCGGATGCAGAAGGTGAAATGAAATGTATTTATTCATTGGTGACAATACCCTTTCTAAAGGCAGAAGGTTATCCAATGAGACCTATCCTTTCTCTTTGAGTTGTAATCTTAATGCCCAGTACTGGCTGCAAATGTTGTCACGTTGTTTGTATTCTTTTCTTTAGTTTTCTGTTCCCTTTTTAATTGCCATTTTTCTTCCTAACTACCCCGTCTCATAAGGGGGTCAGTGGTGACGAGTGCATTTTTCCTAATGCTGCATTGCTGTTGCTGACTTATTTGTGAGGCAAGTGTCCTTCCATGCATGGCTGCTGAGATCATTTCTGTCTCCCTTGTGTCCACCAAGCATTGCATGCTGTGAGACTGGTTTGTCTGGTTTTTATGGTTTTCTGAATTTCTCTTGCTGTCTGCTCACAGAGAGATTGCAACTCCAAACGCTCCTCTCTGGTCACAGTCTGTCTTCACAACAGCCGAGCTGTGTGAGCGTTTCTGAAACGATCGGGTCTTTCCCACCTTCTGCCCTTGGCTCTGTTGTGACATCTGACATGCTCTCGGGTCAAGGTGGATCATCTGCCTTGAACCCCTCGTCGAAGAAGACTGCTCTGTCGGACAGTGAGCAGGAACGTTTAGGATCTGCAGTCCCTCGTGGAATGAGCAGCCTCTATGGGAATGCTTCTGGGAACAACACAGCCTTCAGGGGCTCTCAGCCTGGAGGAAGTGTCTTTGATAACTACAGTTGGATGAGCCAACCTGAGCTGGTATTTGGGAAGCAGGAATCTCAACGAGTACTGGAAGCAGTGGAAGTTTGTCAAATGGAGCGAGTTCACCATGGGACTGGGGCAGAGCACGCTCCTGAGGAGCCAGCAAAAAGTGACCCTTCTTCAATTGATTCTTCACAAGAAGAAGATTCGTTGGAAAGAATTAGTCCTGACTCTCCTTTCGAGGTGCTTGCCGAAATGCAAGAGAAGGGACCTTGTGCTGAAGAGACTTCAAAGTCATTGTCTATTGTGGATGAGCGCAATGTGGATCTGAACCTGCCTCAGAAGCTTCCCCCATTCACAGCAGGGATTGAGACTGATCCATTGGGTCAAACAATGGCCAGAACTGAAGCTGAAACAGTTGCTGCTATTGGGCCAAAGTCCAGTTTGAAGACAGGAGAACTTCCGCACGCTGTGCCCTGCCCTCGAGCAGGTGTCCAGCAGGAGACTCCTGACAGACAAAGCAGCATCGGAGAAGGAGATGTCTTCAGGCCAAATGCCATCACAGGAGGTGGGATTTCCATGGACATAACTTCCAAAAGCTTTCAACCTTCTGTCTGTGGATCAATGAGCAGACCACAGGATTCGATTCCTGGAGATCCACTTTCTCAGCCGCTTAATAAAAGAAAGATGGTCTACGGTCTTGAAATGGACCTGGATCTTTCAGACAGGATGCTGGAGCCAGTAAGTGGCCCTGGAACTGACAGACTCTCTCCTTACTCGCTTATAAAGATTACCCCAGATGAGCCTGTGAACCTTTCTGTGCAAGTACCCACATCCACCAGTGCTGGCATCAAGACTCTGCCCGATGTTGGGCATGAGGGTCAGATTGACCCTCTAAATAGGAGCAGTGAACCCTCAGCAGAGGTACCACACAGAGACCCAATGGATGAGCCACAGCCTCTGAAGAAAGAGGCAAAGGAGATTTCCCCTGGTAAGGAAACTCACCAACTCCGTGAAGATCCAGCTTCAACCTGGGGCAGCTCACAATGCCCAGCCCTTGAAGGAGCCACTGCCCTTGATCGTGTTCTGTCCGTGAGATTGGAGAATATGGAGGCAGACAGTTCCGGAGAATCTGATGACACCGTTATTGAAGATGTCAGGTCCATCCCAGTGGGGACCCCCTCGTGTGGGAAGGAGCAGTCAGGTGATACAGGCACCACTGAGAAACTGGTTTTTGTGCCAGTGTTAAATCTTACAGAGACCAGGGAGCAGACGGTCAGTGACAGACAGAGAGAGTCTGTGAATCTTCAATCCACAGGCACTGGAGGAGATAGGACACTGTCTGCAGAAACCAAAGGCTGTCCAGCAGAAAGCCCAGTACTGGTTGGAGCTTCACCTGGGCTTGGTCACACAGGAGAAGTGGTGTCGGAACAAAGACCAATGCCTTCTCAAGAAGTTGTACCTTCAGTCTGTGCAGTTTCCCCTTCCTCACCTCCGGCCGCCAGTTACCAATTAGATGAGCATATGTCTACAGTAGAAGAAACTGGCAAACGTGAGCCAAGATCTGGTTCTCCAGTCTTGCCAACCTTGTCCCATGTGGACCAACCGCACTGGCACCCACGTGGCCTGTCTCCAACTGATTCTCCTACCACTCAGCAGTCAGCAGACTTTCCTGTCTTCAGTGCTGATAGCGGGGAGCATTCTGTGGTGGAAGGTTCTTCTCCTTTACAAGAGATGATTCGGAGATCAGCAGCCCAAAGGGGCCACGTTTTTGGGGAAATGCAGTCTGTGTCCGTGAAACCAGCTCCACCCCAATCGATCATCATCAAATCCACACCCATAGTTACTGAAACCCCTACATTCGTTGTCAGATCAGCTAATGGTCCAGCGAAGGCCCAGGAGGGAGTGGCTGAGGGAACAATCAAGGCTTTAGATTCTGTGTCACCATCTTCAGTCGGACTGGCTGGAGTCGAACAACCAACCGTGAAGCAGGAAGTAGCCAATCTCAGCGCTTCAGGAAGGAGGGACACACAGAAAGATCAAAGAGCCAAGGATGGACAGAGCTTCATAGGGTCTGATGACAGAGTCCAGCCCCAGTTAACCACCGCTCCTCAGGCACTGAGCAAACTAACCCTCCAGCAATACTCTCCCATCGAGGAGCCAGGAAGAGACGAAGGCCTGACCCTGCATCTGGCCCAGCCCCTTGTGGACACGGCCCCTCCAAGTGACTCCAAAGTGAGACCAGAGCTGAAATCACAAACTGTCTCGGAGCCTGTGCAGATGGAAAGGCCTGTTGGTGGGGAGGCTTCTGATAGGCTGAGTAAAATGGCAGGTAAAAGCTTTTGCTGTCTGTACCTTCCTCATTTTATTAACTGCACCCATTGTCTTTAACCCATTTGTCATCACCTTCATAAACCTGACCTACGTCCACTGAGCTGTATGTGTCTGACTGCCTGCACCATGTCTGCTCAGGTTTGTCTGTTTTGAATCCCCATCAACAGCCTCAAGGTGTGTATGATTCTGTTAGTTTCTTCTTTTAGAGTCTCACCCCATGTTCAAATCCTTCTATGGCCTTAACCCTCCCTATCTCTGCCACTTCCTCCAGCCCGTACGCCTCTCCCTAACTCTGCCACCTCCTCGGGTTCTGGCCTCTCAATCATCCCCAGTTCCCATCACTCCACTGTTGGAGGTCATGCCTTCAGGCGCCTGGTGCCCTGAGATCAGGAATTCCCTCCCTAAACCGCTCTGCTCCATGCCCCCTTCGGGGGGGGGGGGAGGGGGGAGCCAGCATTACCCGTGATGGAGTAGGTGGAAGGAAGGCTGTTCAGTTGTGGGTGATATTACTTTCAGATGTTTAAAAGTAAGAATGAGTGGTAATCTCATTGAAACACGAAAGATGCTGATGGGTCTCGACAGACTGAATGAATATCCAGAGGATGTTTCCCCTTGTGAGGGGAGGTTGGAATTGATCGCCCCAGTTTGAGGGAAAGGGCTCTCCCACTGAAGACAGATGTGGACAAATGTCCTGGCTCAGAGGGTGATTCGTAATCAGAAATCTCTTCTGCAAGAGGTAGTGGTGACTAGGTCGTTGGTTTTATTTGAAGCTGAGTTAGATTTTGGGTGGGAAATATTTCTAAACCAGTCGACAACTCCTGCTCTTGAGGGACCGTCTGACAGAGCAGAATGCGACTATTGTCTCACACTTTTTGTTTCTGTTATTGGCCAGTTCTAGTTTCCCTGATTTACCTCCCTTGTTCAGTACCCTCTGTACCATGCCCTCCCACCCCAAACCTTCACTCTTACCTTTCCACACCCTGTCCGTTTCCCACCGGGGCAATTTTTAAAATATATACTCGTAGGACGTGGGTGTTACTGGAGAAGTCCAGCATCTAATGCCTATCCCTAATTGCCTAGAGAGCAGTTAGGAATCAACCACCTTACTGTGGTCTAGGGTCATGTGTAAGCCAGACCAGGTAAAGATGGCAGATTTCTCGCTCTAAAGGGCATTAGTGACCCAGATGGATTTTTTCCAATAATTAGCAGTGGTTTGCTGGTCATCATTACACTATTAATTCCAGACTTTTTTATTGAATTCGAATTCCACCATCTGTCATGGCAGGATTCAAACCCAAATCTCTGGGATATTGCCTGATTCTCTGGGTTAGTAGCTTGGTTATAATACCACTCGGTCATTGTCTCTCCCTGTTGTTTACATTGCTGCACAGTAGGAGGCTCACAGGATGTGGGCGTCTCTCGCTAGGCCAGCATTTATTGCCATTCCCTAATTGCCCAGAGGGTTGTTAAGTGTTGACCACATTGCCGTGAATCTGGAGTCACATGTAGGCCAGACCAGGTAAGGATAGCAGCTTTCCTTCTCTGAAGGACATTAGTGACCCAGATGGGTTTTTCCGATAATCGACAATGGTTTAATGATCGTCAGTAGACTCTTGATTCTTTATTGAGTTCAGCTCCCAGCATCTGCCATGGTGGAATTTGAACCCGGGGCCCTAGAATATTAGCTGAGTTTCTGGATTAGTAGTCTAGTGGTAATACCACTAGGCCATTGTCTCCCCAGTAGTGCACAGCAAGATCCCACACACACTGGTCAGATCATCAATTTGAGTGATGTTGATTTGAGGATTAAATATTAACTCCAGACAGAGCTCTTGCTCTTGTCAATGACGCTTTGGACTCTGTGAACAACTGTGTCTCTGTAGCCATTGCAGCACAGCCACAGCACTGCATTGGCAGAGTCTGCCTGGAAGATGTAGTCGGTTTCTTTAATGAGACTGGGTTCAACCTGTTCCCACATGAGGTCAGAGTATCTTTTACAGGTTTTGGGGAAGAGAATGGTGTTGAAGGGGCTGAGTGATCCCCATTCCTCAAACAAACTGCTCTCCTCTCAAAGATGAGCAGAATACTGCAGATGCTGGAAAACAGAATGTTGGAGAAACTCAGCAGGTCTGGCAGTGTCTGTGGAGAGAAATGCGCTGTGTTAATGTTTTGACGGCAGTAGAACAGACAAAGAGTCTGACCAGAATCGAAGAGTGCACTATTTCTCTCTCCACTGATGCAGTCAGATCTGCTGGGTTTCTCCAGCATTCTTTTTGTTTCTGCTGGCCCCTATCCCCCGCCCACCCACTACCCCCACTCCACTGCACTTTGTAATCACCCCATTGCTTCTCCCCAGCCCTCAGATTTGTTGCAGAATGGGGGAGGCAAGGGGTTAATTTTTAGAATGTTCTTTAGTAAATTTTCTGCATGTTGTTCACAGACATTTCATGAATAGAACAGCTCTTTATTCCTTGCCTGGGACTCTGAGACTTACTCAACTGTGCTGCCTGCTGGCTATAGACTTCAGCTACCCTGTGACAGGGAACAGTTTACATACACAGCTTCTATTTTGAATGTTTATATTGGCAGATCGAATGCTTAAACATTCAGAAAGTGTTACTGAGGATTATGATAGTGGGACATGCAGAATAATCAGTGTTCCGTGTGATGAGGAGTTGAGGCCAAATTATATTGACTACGATGAGAGAGTGGAGGAAAATTGGACCAGGAACTGGAGATGTCATTAATCCCAGATTTTAGGATCCTGGGTTTGAAACAATCAAATTGAATGTTCACATTAGGAACAGAAACTTCCTCCTGTAAACATGTTACGTTGTAATTACATCTCCTCCCTTGGTTGCTCAATGCTCATTCTCCCACCCTACTCCCAAACATAAAACACAAGAAATAAAGTTCAAGGATAGGCCATTAGCCCCCTTAGGCCTGTTCCATCATTCAACTAGATCCTGGCTAACCTTCTGCTCCAACAACATTTTTCTGTACTACTCCATTTGCTTTGATGCTTTACAATTGAAAATCTGAGAATTCATGAACCCGCCCAATGATAGAGCAACCAGAGCCTCCAGGGTAGAGAATTCCGAACGTTCTCCACCCTCTGAGTGAAGGGAATCATCCTCATCTCTGTCCTGAACTGCTTGCCCTTTTCCTGAAATTGTCCAGGTTGTAGATACTGACCCTCCTCCCAAGCTGGGGGAAACAGCTGTTTGGATGACTTGATGGGTCAAATGGCCTGTTTCTGCACTGTAGGGATTCTATGATCCTGTTTACATCTAGCCTGTTGAGCCCTGTAAGAATTATGTATGGTATCACTTCTCATTCTTCAAAACTGTAGAGAATCCAGGTCCAGACTCCTCGGTAACTCTCTGTGGGACAGTCTTATCGGGTGGGGATTGAGTCATTACAGTGTGATCTGTTGACAGTGGTTATAAATGAATAGGCAGGAATTTATAAAGGTGGAGGGGTGTACTGTTGCGTTTATGTGCAATGTATTATACAACTAACTGCTTGATGAACCATGAGGTCACGAGGGTATCTGTGCTCGTCGTGACTGTATCATGCTATGGGTTTGCTGGTTAATTTCAACATGGATATTTCATGTAGCTATTTACCCCAATGTGAATGAGGAATGTATACTCATTGGAATTTAGAAGAATGAGGGGAGATCTTGTAGACACATACAAAATTGTGAAGGGAACAAATAAGACAGAAGCAGGGAGGTTGTTCCCACTAATGGTTGAAAGTAGAGCTAGGGGGCATAGCCTCAAAATAAGAGGGAGTAGATTTCAGACTGAGTTGAGGAGGAACTTCTTCACCCAAAGGGTTGTGAATCTGTGGAATTCCCTTCCTAGGGAAGCAGTTGAGGCTTCCTCATTGAATGTGTTTAAGGCAAAGATAGATTTTTGAACAGTGAAGGAATTAAGAGTTATGGTGAGCCGGGGCGGGGTAAGTGGAGCTGAGTCCATGGAAAGATCATCCATGATCTTACTGAATGGTGGAACAGGCTGGAAGGGCCAGATGGCCTACTGCTGCTTCTATTTCTTATGTTCTTATGTTGTCCTCTCTCAAGGGTTTTCCAAACCTGGTCTTCCCATAAGCCTTGTCAATTCCTAGGGGGCATTCTTCCCCTGAAGAGCCCCATAAATCTACCAACTGATGCACTATTGCATCTGTGACCCCTACCCCACTTACCGACCCCCCCCCCCACCACCACCACCACAGTGTTGTCACTTCTGGAATGGAGCTAAAGACTAAGAAATCACCCAGACCTGTTTGGATGCAGCTTTGGATACTAAAGGAAGTAATACTTTTATTCTGAAAAGTGAAGGAGACAACAGAAGTAACTTGGTCCATTACCTTAATCTCTGTCATTAAGAAAACGTTAGAGTCTATTCTGAAGGATGTAATAGCGCTCGGCATTCCTGCCAATTTTGTTTTGTTTTGTTCTGTTCTGTTCGGATCTCTGAGATCCGACCTGGAAGTCAATGCTGTGAACGGTGTCAACACAACAATCACCAGGCATGGAAACTCAGAGCTGGGGGTCTAGAGGTAAGATTCATAGCAAAGTGTTTGGAGATATGTAATGTGATAAATCAAAGGCAGCATGGCTTCATGAAAGGGAAACCATGTCAGACAAGTTTATTAGAGTTCTTTGAGAAAATAGCAAGCCGAATAGATAAAGGGGAAGCAGAGAACGTAATATACTGGACTTCCAAAAAGTATCTGATAAGGTACTACTGCATGTAAGGCCATTTAAAGTTTTGGCAAAGATCTGAAGCTCACGTTGTGGATGCTCCAGAACTACGCAGGAAAGAGGGAAGAACACTTGTACAAGATCCTCGCTTTAAACAGATATCCCCACAACTTCATCTATAGATATCTACAAAACAGACAACAACAGGAGGACACAATACGCCCTAACACGCTGACCACACTGCCCTACATCAGGAACATATTGGAACTGACAACAAAACTCCTAAGACCACTAGGAATCACGGTGGCCCACAAGCCCACATCCACTCTACGACAAACATTTACAAGGATTAAAGACCCCATTCCCACCACATGCAGAACGAACAAGGTTTACAAAATACCATGCAATGACTGCCACAAACATTTACATCGGACAGACAGGAAGGAAACTAGCCATCAGAATACACTAATATCAGCTAGCAGCAAAACGGCACGACGAACTCTCCTTAATATCGGTACGTTCAGACAATGAAGGCCATCAATTTAACTGGGACAAGGTAACCATAGTAGCCCAAGCCAAACATAGACATGCATGGGAATTCCTGGAGGCATGGTTCTCCACCCGTACTTCAATCAACAAACATATAGATTTGGACCCTATATACAAACCCATATAGATCAAAACCGGAAATGACACCATAATGGACTGAACAGTATAAATTCCAGGTGGATAGAATAACATTGCTTCATCGGAGGCTCCACTGATGACGTCACCTAGCATGGTGATGAAACGTCTGGACAAAAACAAGCCAGCTCAGCAAGCAAGTCAACAACCTTATAAAGCTACTTAGTAAGGTAAGAACCCATGATCTTGGAGATATTGTGTTAGCAGGGATAGAAGATTAGGGCCCTGGGTAGTGTTGGAGAACAGAGAGACCTAGGGGCTCAGATACATAATTCTTTGAAATTTGCATCACAGGGTGGTTAGGAGGGTCTTTAGCAAACTTGCCTTCATTGCTCAGGCCTTTTGAAAGTATAGGAGTTGGGATGTCATGTTGGAAGTTGTACAGGAGGTTGGTGAGGCCTCTTCTGGAATACTGTGTTCTAGTTATGCTGCCTTTGATTTATCACATGACATATTTCCAAATGCTCTGCTATGAATTCTGGTCTCCCTGTTTTAGGAAGAATATTATTAAACTGGAGAGGGTTCAGAAGAGATTTGCCAGACGTTGTCAGGAATGGAGGGTTTGAGTTATAAAAATAGACTAGATAGGCTGGACTTTCTTCACTGGAGTGTAGGAGGTTGAGGAGTGACCTTCTGATGTTTATAAAATCATGAGAGGCATAGATAAGGTGAATGGCAGGTGTCTTTCCCTAGGGTGGGGAGTTCAAAACTAGGGGGCATATTTTTAAGGTGAGAGGAGAAAGTTTTTTTAAAAAGGACATGAGGGCAACTTTTTTTAAACATAGTGGTTAGTGTATGGGATGAACTGCCAAAGGAAGTGGTAGATGTGGGTATAGTTACAATGTTTAAAAGACATGGATAATTTCTTGAATAGGAAATGTTTGGAGGGATATGAGCCAAGCGTAGGCAGGTGTGACTAGTTTAGTTTGGGAACATGGTTGGTATGGATTGGTTGGACCGAAGGGTCTGTTTCCATGCTGGATGTCTCTATGACTAATAGAAGACAAAGTGTTGGAATGTGGGAGGCATTTTCAGGATGACAACCTGTAACTAGTGGAGTGCCACAAGGATCAGAGCTGAGGCCACAATTATTTACAATATCTATTAATGACTTGGATGAGGAAACTGAATGTGGTATAGTTGAGTTTGCAGGTGGCAGAAGTAGGTGGGAAGGCAGGTGCTGAGGATGACAGTCTGCAGAGGGATATAGACAGGTTGAGCAAGTTGGCAAATACTTGACAGATGGAATATTATGTGGGAAAATGGGAGGTTCTGCACTTTGGCTGGAAGAAAAGTGGAGCTGAATATTATTTAAATGGAGAAAGACTGCAGAAAGCTGCAGAAAAGAAGGATTTAGGAGTCCTTGCCCATGGATCACTAAAAGCAAGCATCCAAGTTCATTGGGTAATAGGAAAGGCAAATGGAATGTTAGCCTTTTATTTCAAATGGAGCATAAAATTAGGGAGTTTTTACAAGGCAGTCGTCAGGCCGCAGCTGGAATATTGTGAACAATGTTCATTCCCTTATCGAAGGAAAGATGGTCCAAAAAAGGTTCACTACGCTGATCCCGGGTATGGAGGGAGACTGAGTAGCTTGGGCTTGTACTCATTGAAGTTTAGAAGAATGAGATACATACAAACGAGATTCTTAGAGGACTCAATAAGGTAGATGCAAAGAGGTTGTTTCTGCTGTCGGGGAGCCTGCAACCACAGAGTTCAATCTCAGAGTAAGAGGTCACCCTTCTTAATACCAAGATGAGGGGGACTTTCTTGTTTGAGGCTAGTGATCTGTGGAATTGTTTACTGCAGAGGGCTGTCGTAGCTGGGTGTGTAAATATATCAGGATTGAGAGATACAGATTTTTAATTAGGAAGGGAATGAAAGGTTATGGCAAAAAGGCAGGAAAGTGGTGTTGAGGATTATCAGATCTCACTTAATGAGGGAGCAGACTTGATGGGCTAAATGGCTTATTTCTGCTGCTACATCTTATGGTCTACGGTTTGCCGTTGAGCCGTAGCTTCTTATTTCCAATGACTCTGATTTGAGGAATCGGTTATGTTGGGGACTGATTTGGATCTTAACAGTAGTCTTGTTTGTACAGTCTGTGTGAATGAGTTGTTTGTGTACAATGAGTAGATTAGGTCATTGCTCTGTTATGCAGTCAGCTGCTTCACTCTCTGAGCTGTGGATCAGGAGAAGCTTTGATGCATTCTGTCTCCTGACAACTCTCCTTATTCTCCCTCTCTCCTCTATTCCCCAGGTGTGACTGTGGCAATATGGGACACAACGTTAATGTCTTCAGCAAATAAGTATTCATTTTGACAGGGGTTACCAGGGAGGGGATGGCTGCGCAGCCGAACTGCTCCTGACAACAACTCATGGGGACTCCCTAGGTCAGTTGTGTGTTCAAACAAAAGGGAAAGTCTTCTCCCTCTCTCTCTCAGTATTTACTGAAAGGGTTTGTTTGTCACTGTGCCTGTGTTGTGGCTGCCAGGCCTCTGAGACACAATGCACTGGTTTCATTGTCTGTCTCTCCATGTGTTAGTGCTGCTGCTTGCTCGCTCAGCTTTAACACCCAACATAGCTCCCACATATTATCCCCAGCCCCTGGGGGTTCGGTGTGGCACCTGCACCACCTCATCCCAATGGTCGCTGGGAGTTCATGCCCCTGACAGCACTCCCGCACTCTGGGGAGAGTTGCATGTTAGTCCCATTGGGCGCTGAGTAGATTACCTGGCTCCAGCTTGTGGGGAGTTGGTTCAGTCTTATCAGTTGGTGTCCCTTGCTAATGGTGTGTTCTGTGTGCATGGACGAGACTCTGGGGTGTCTCCCACTTTGATCTGGTCTGAAGTCACACGACACCAGGTTATAGTCCAGGTGAAGTCACCTGATAAAGGAGCAGTGTGATGAAAGCTTGTAATTTCAAATAAACCTGTTGGACTATAACCTGGTGTCGTGTGATCCCAATCCAACACTGGCACCTCCACATCATGACTTTGATCTGGGTGAGTGAAGGCTTGAGGGTGTTTGACTTGGGGCCTGGAGGAAATGGCTTTAGGGCTTGGCAGGGTGTGAGTGGGGTATCGTGCCCACACCTGGCTCTGAGATGCCTTGGGCGTGACCCAAGAGCTTGAGTGCTTCCAGACTAACACACCCAAGGTCCTTTTATTTCACTCCCGCTTCCCCCACCCTAAACCCTTCCAGAGCAGCTCTAGATAGGCCTGGAGGAGAGATTGAGGGTGCAGTGGGAGATATATTTGCCACGATTCCCGATCCCACTCTTCCTGACCAATGTGGTTTTTCTCTCTCTCTCTCTCTCTAGTGAAAGGTCTGATCTACTGGCGTGACCCTAAGAAGACAGGGGTTGTGTTTGGGTCCATTCTGACCTTGCTGGTGTCACTGGCCGTGTTTAGTGTGGTCAGTGTCATGGCCTATCTCGTGCTGGCTTTGCTATCCGTCACCATCAGTTTCCGCATCTACAAGTCCGTGGTACAGGCTGTGCAGAAAACCAACGATGGAAATCCTTTCAAGTAAGGTTGCTGAAACTGCTTTGTTGGATGTGCATGTTTGTTTGATCATTTCTGACCTCCTCCTCCTTTCCCTGGGGTTGGGGTGGGGTAGGGAACACTGTGTGAGGATTCACAACTAATTCATAGCCCTCTGGAAGTGTGTGTGATTCCATCCAGAGACACGCTTGCAGATTGTGTGGAGGATTCTGAGAGGCATTGAGAATAATGAAAGCCCCATTCTGTGTAATGGGTCAGGCTCTTGGGGGAAGGATGGTGGAGATGAGGTGAGGGGAGGAACCTGATCACATTGACACACTGCCCCCCGATCTCTCCCTTCTGCCCTGCTGTGTCAGAATGGCCAGTGATTAAATGGAACCATCTGAATTGGGTGGGTGACTGCTGGTGGTATTTGTCCTGAAACCCAGGCTGTGCCAGTAACAGGATTTATCTTCACTCTGTCCAGGCCATATCTGGAACAGGACATCACCTTGTCCTCAGAAACATTCCATAAATATTGCAACATAGCCTTCACCCACCTGAACCGAGTGCTGAAATATCTGCTGCAGCTTTTCCTGGTCCAGGATCTAGTGGATTCACTAAAGGTTTGTGACCTGGTCTTTGAAATGTAAACGCTTGGGCTCTGATTTAATTACAGGCCACGATTAATTAGCAGCAAGACCTAGGCTTCTCCCTCTTTTTCATTCCCCTTCCTTCCAACCCCTCCATTCCCCCCCCCTCCTTTCCCTTTCTTTCTCTTTTTCTTTCTTTCTTTCTCTCTCTCTCCCTTCCCCTTCTCCTGCCTTGTGTCTCTCGGCCCCTTCTTTCCCTGTCTCTCGCTGTCTGTGCCCCCTTCTTTCTCTCTCGCTGTCTGTGCCCTCTCTCTCTCTGTGCTCCCTTCTTTCTCTCTCTCTCCACCCCGTCTTTCTCTCTCTCTGTCTCCGCCCCCTTCTGTCTGTCTGTCTCTCTCTCTCTGTGCCCCCTTCTTTCTCTCTCTGCCCCCTTCTGTCTGTCTGTCTCTCTCTTTGTGCCCCCTTTTCTCTCGGTCTCTCTCTCTCTGTGCCCCCTTTTTTCTCTCTCTCTCTCCCCCCCGCCACCGCCCCGACCCCAAACCTTTTCTGATGTAGATGCAGGTTTCCTGAGATTGGGATTGAGTTGGGTTGAAGAAACTTGCACTCCCTGTCATCTTGTGCCTGACATTTGCCTGTTCTTCCTGCAGCTTGCAGTTCTCATGTGGCTAATGACTTATGTTGGAGCTGTCTTCAATGGGTTGACTCTCCTGATTCTGGGTACGTTACAGCCTCACACTGTTTGATTGTTGTGAATCAAATTGTGGGGGAGACCTGGGGGATGGGAGGGCTGAGTGAGACTTTTTTTTTGCTGGGGGGAGCGGAGCAGAGCAGAGCCCCTGTGCTGGGAGGGAAGTGGGGTGGGATGAGAAACTTTGTGGAGGAGGCATGAGACAGTGTGTGATGGTGCAGGAGAGATTCGGGATGAGACATGTTCTGGGTGTGGGTGGGGTGAGAGTGGGGCAGACCTGGTATCTAATCCGGTTTCTCTGTTGATGGGAGACACCAGAACTGGTGCATTGTGTCGGGATGGCTGTCAGCATTGTGTGTATTTGTTCTAACTGTGATTTATTTTCTCCTTTGTCTTTTCTAGCCGTACTATTAACCTTCAGCATTCCGATCATCTATCAAACTTACCAGGTAGGTACCTGGGCTACTGTAGGCAGTGTCTGTGCCCTGGGGTTGCTCCCTCAGCCTCTGTACTGTGTGTCCTGCTGAATAGTGAGACACACGGAGTGGGGTCTGTTAGCTCAGTTGGCTGGATAGCTGGCCATACAGAGAAATGCCAAAAGCTTGGCTTCAATTCCTGCACTAGCTGAAGTGACCATGAAGGAAGCTCCTTCTCAACCTCCCCTCACCTGAGCAGGTTAAACCACCACCAATTGTGTCTCTCTGATGAAAGAGCAGCCCTATGATCTAATAGGACTATGGCAACTTTACCTTTAGTGGGACAGGATGGGTTCATTCTCAAGTTTTATGTTCAGGACCTCAAGGTTAACATGTCTTGGGGGTTTAGCGAGTGCCAGTTCTTCCGGGGACTCTGTTGTGTGTTTGGGTTGCTGGTTTAAGATTGTGGGTCTCCGCTGGCATCTGTATGTGGTCACTGCACCTGAGATCAGCAGAGATGTGATTTGGAAAGCAACAAAGTTACTTAAGGAGGAACTGTAACTCTTTGTCTTTTTTTTTGATACAGACGCAGATTGATCATTATTTTGAACTAGTTCAGAAACAGGCAACCTGTGCTTTTGGGAAGTGAGTATTGTTTAAATTCTCTGAAATGCCCCTTATGGGGGACATGTTCAAGCAGGGGATATAGAAAGTGCTTCAAATGGGGCTGAGACAAATGATTACTCTTCCACTCTGTCCCAGGAATCTGGCTTATGGCAACAGCTGAGGGGACAAAGCCAAATGTGTTCCCAGTCAGGCCTTACCCTCTGGAATCTGGTTCATGTGGAGTGTTCAAAGCCGTGCGTGGCTTTATTCCACAGTGAAGTCACAAAGACCTCTGATCCAGGCAAAGGATCTGAATGCCTCCTTGAACAATTACAGCTCAGTCTCTTTTCCCTCAAAGAGTTGTTGCTGTCTCTTTTTTCAAGGCAGTGGTGGTCTCTGCCTTCACCCCAACTCCATGGCACAGAATATTCACCATTTCTCTTCATTAAATTGACAGCCCTCATCCAATTTGTCCCTGTACCTTGGTGGCTCAGTGGTTGGCTCTGCTGCCTCATGGCATCAGTGAGCCGGGTTTGATTTCACCCTTGTGCGCCTGTCTGTGTGGAGTTTGCACATTCTCCCCGTGTCTGCCAGGTGCTCCAGTTTCCTCCCACAGACTAAAGATGTGCAGACTAGGTGGATTGACCATGCTAAATTGCCACATAGCGTCCAGGGTTGTGCAGTCTAGGTGGGTTAGCCATGAGAAATGCAGGGCTACAGGGATAGGGTGGGTCTGGGTGGAACGCTGTTTGGAGGATTGGTGTGGACACAATGGGCCGAATGGCTTGCTTCCACACAGTAGGGATTCTATGATCTGCACGTTATCCAAAGGACAGATCTGTTTTTTGTAAAATCAGCCGTCCCCTTTGTATGTTGATCACTCGGATAATGTTCTGTTTTCAATGCCCAGATAGGTTATTCGTGCTTTTGGATTTAATTCTGACGAATTTTCCAGATAATGTTAACCTGTGTGTGTGTCTGTCTCTACTCAGGATCCAAGACAAGCTTCCAGGTGCAAAACGAAAGAGCGAGTAGCAATGGGGTAGCCCGCTCAGCGGCCTCCATACGCACTCCTCCCCATGCCCCCCGCTACTAAACTATAACTCTGTGTATTGGAACTAAATGCTTGCTGTCTGTCTGCTTGGGCCTACGTTCCACCATTCCTGCTGTAGTGGACTACTTCTGGGATCTTGCAATTTGCTCCATTGTGGATTTGTTCTTGCCTCCCCTGGACTCTCTCCCTCCACCCCCAAGTCAATCTTGGCTGACAAGGGGGTTGCTAGTGCATTGTGTGTCTGTTGATCACTGGCTTAAGACATGTTCCTTTCTGCTGCTTCTGTTTCAATGAGATTATAAATATATATATTTTCCGTTTTTTGCCCTTTTCTGAAACACACTGTCTGTAAACTGCTGTAGAAATTACTGAGCAACAACAGGGCGGGGATTAAGAGAGAACCAACTCCCCGTCCCCAATTGTGTATATAATTGAGGGTGCATGTGAAAGTGTTTGTCACTGTAATTGAACAGTCCTTTGAGAAACTGGGGGAGGAGTGTGAAATACACAAGTGGTGGAAGAATTTCTGAATTGTAAGTGATGTATGTCTGTAGATAGTGTGTACGTGTGTGTGTGTGTGCGCCACTCAATCTGCCCCATTTTCCCCCCCCCCC